TTTTTATCCCGGGTGGCTGTCACATTGTAGTTGCCTCACGGTCCTTGCTGACTACAACACCCTCCCTGTCCTCGCGGCTACCCTTGGCATACCTGAGGCGTGTAGAGATTAATAACCAACCTGCCTGGCTACATGGGGACACACCTTCTGTAGCCATCAAGCCCTCAGGTGGGACTTAAAAGTCAGAGATCCAGACACTACCACTGTGCCACACGACATACTGAAAGGGATAGAACAGGAAAATTAAAAAGACATGAGAACACAACAAACTTCCGGATGGAATAACCTAACATTAATATGATATCAAGAATATGTATGTATATGGAAAACAGTCTGCAACAGGAAAGCATTTAAAGTTGTCTTTTAATCCCTACACAAGGCAAATTATTCCTGATGCCAATTGGAACATGCCTGACCTTGTTTTAACAAAGTACTGGGGCGTGGAAGACAATAATAACAGCCTAGAGTGGTGTTGGAAATTTTCAACTGTTATCTGAGGCCTACGCTTAACACAGAAATCAAGGAGTGGTATACAAATATTCAAAATATTTCCTCACCATTTAATTGCTCTGTAAATTCCTGTTCTTTGTTCAATGTTGCCATACAGTCCAGCATTGCAGAGGGATTCCCTAGGTAGCAGCTGGAGTCAGTGGCCCTCTAGGTGTTCCTGCATACTGGCAACATTGACATCATTTCTTAACAATGTGATGTTGTTCAGAAGTCCCATTCTGTTGGGGTAAACACAGTAATTTTATAAAGAAAGGAGTAGTAAGCTCATACACACCTTGCCAAGTGCTAAAGGATCCATCCCGGCTCAGGCAAGCAGGTTAACATCAGCTCCAGCCTGTTCACTTTGTGTGAGTGACTCCTAACCGTGTTGTTTTCAGGTCGCTCACCTCCCTCCCCTGTTGATGGCTGTTTTAGTTAAATCGGGAGAGGGTGCATCTCTTAAAGCAAAACGGCATTCTTCCTCTTGTTTTTACAAGCTGGATAAAGTCTTCCAAAATCTTTGGCTGTAGAGGTGAGGAGGCCGACCTGCTAACCCTGTCTCCCTCTACCTTATTTTTGTGAGGCCTCTCTTGTTTGGTTGGTAAGAACTCAGAATGTTGGCGCTGAGCTGTTTATCTCCTTGAACAATGCCCAACAACAGGACCTTCTATTTCCCTGCCCCTTCAGTTATCATTTCCAACAACTCCCATCCCTTCCATCAGAAGCTTTCTATATGAATGAATCCAACAGCTGAAACTCAGCTATGCTTTCTGCTGACCGTGCTCAAATACTGTGTTAGCTATCACAGGCCCTGGTACACCATGCAGCATGGAGAGATGCCAAGGTTTCTGTGTTTAGCCAGAATTCCCAGTGCCCCAACATCCTTATTCCTCGGAGGGTTACCCTCAGAGGGTTAACTCCTGGCTGAATTGTTAACTGCTGAGGGCAATGGGGAAGGTGAAAGAGCAACCTTTCAAAAGTGGAACTTTACCCTTGGCCTGTTTTCCAAGGCTGGACACTCATGTGCCCTCTATCAGACTACAGGAGGCAGTGGTGAAGAATTTAAAGGCCATTGTGACTTGCACAGTGACTGGTACAGTATGAACCACTGGTCCAGATGGCAGTTGCATTGAGAACCTATCCTTAATAGCTCCAGACAGAAACTCAGCAGGTCTGGCAGCAGGCCTGGGAGTATCTATAGAGAGAGAGAAAGGTAGAGTTAATGTATCGATCTAGTGTGCCACTTCTTTGGACCTGATAGGAGCTCAACGTGGTGATTTTTATGCCATTGACAGAAGGAAGAGTGAGTGGAACAGATGGTGAGGGTGCACAGAGGAAAAGACAAATGGTGTTAAAGGGTGACAAATGGTGTTAAATCTTCCATTTAATAGAACCAAGTGGCTACTACAGAGGCCATTAGGTGTGAGACAAAGGTCAGGCAGCACTGTAGGCAGTAGTGAAGTGGTAATCTCTCTGGTTTAGTAATTCAGACCCCAGCCTAAAGCTCCTGGGGACATGTGTTCAAATCTCACCATGGTGGACTGCAAGAAATATCTGGAATTAAAAGCTCTCCTAATGGTGACGCTGTTATTTAAAGAGCCATGTGGTTCCTTAATCCTTTCTAAGGAAGGAAATCTCTGTCCTTCCCTGGTCTGGCCTCCTGTACAGAACTCTTAATGGCCCAGTAAGTCATTCAGATCAAGGGGCAGTTAGGGCTGGGCACTAACTGCTGGGCCAGCAATCAGTTGTGCTTACATCCAATGAGCACATTTTTACTCCCATGCTAACATTTCTATGATGGGCCTGCTACAATATTCCAACAAAGCTCAACACAAGCTTTTTTTCCTTTATTCATTCACAGGATATGGGCATGGCTGGCTAGGGCAGCATTTATTGTCCATCTCTAATTACCCAGAGGGCAGTTTAGAGTCAAACACATTCCTGTGGGTCTGGAGTCTCATGTAGGCCAGACCAGGTAAGGATGGCAGTTTCCTTCCCTGAAGGACGTTAGTGAACGAAACGGGGTTTTTCCAACAATTGGCAATGGATTCATGGTCATCATTAGATTTTTAATTCCAGATTTCTTTTTTTTCTTCTTGAATTCAAATTCGTCCATCCACTATGGTGGGATTTGAACACAGTACCCCAGAACATTACCCAGGCCTCTGGATTAACAGTCCAGCAATATTACCACTAGGCCATTGTCTCCCTCCAAGGTACAAGCTGGAGGAACAATGCCTCATTTTATGCTTCATCTCTTTACAGCCTCTAGGACTCCACATTGAGTTTAACAACTCCAGAGCATGACTTCTGTCCTCCACCTTGATCACAACACGTCCCTTAACACACCCCTGTCCAACGCTCCAACAGTGTTCGCTTATGTCCTCATGGCTTTGCTGTCTGCAGAGTGGGCCCAGTTTCCCCTTTCCACACCTAACATTAGCAATGCTTTTACATCTCCATTTCTCCTTTAACACCATTTGTCTTTTCCTCTGTGCACCCTCACCATCTGTTCCACTCACTCCTCCTTCTATCAATGGCATAAAAATCACCACATTGAGCTCCTGTCAGGTCCAAAGAAGTGGCACACTAGATCGATACATTAACTCTGCTTTTCTCTCTCTCCATTAATGCTCCCAGACCTACTGCCAGACCTGCTGAGTTTCCTAAGCAATTTCTCTGTTTATTTCACATTGTCATTTTATTGTTGTTTTAGCCAGGCGCCTAGCCCTACTCCTGTTTGATAGGCATGGGCCTTAATTCTACTTTGGAAAAGATAACTATACCATTCTCATTGAATAACTAAAAGGCTGTGTCACATTAGAGAGAAAATGAAAGGTCTAATGCACTTTCAGGATGCTGCAAAATGTCTTTACAGCATTTACAGTGAAATACTTTTGCATTGTCGTCGATGTTCTGATATCAGATAATTAGGCCACTTTCTACCTCTAATCTCACCATTTATATTGAAGAGATGATTTGTACTTATATTTGTTTAACTGATTAATA